TATGTATTCATGAATTGATTCGGGAATAAAATTTTATGATCGTATAAAAAAAATCACCTTTTTAATTTCCTAAATCAGCAAAATTCTATAGTTTCAAAAATTGTAAATTAATCATTTTACCATATTTGACCGTCAAATCCATAGCAAAAAATAGCAGAAAATCAGCATCACTCAGTATTTCAATAAAAAAAATAAAAATTAACTGATCAGGAGCAAATTTGTAAGCAAATATGAAAACATAGGGATCAATTAATTATTTATTAAACCAAAGGGACTAACTTATTTATTTCTTAAAACAGGGATTAAGTTATAATTTACTCAATGAAGTTACGTCGCTAGATGGATATATCCCCTGGTTAAACCCGCAAGAGGATGACACATGGCAAAATTTAACGTAAAAAATGAATCTACTAAAGTTTGGTTAAACGAACAAAAGATCGACAACTCTCTAAATTGACTAGAAAAAGCGAAGAGAAATTCCAAAGTTTATTAGACGTGTGCATACTCCAAATGTCAAAATTGATACCTAATGTCTAAGAAAAAGCACCCTTTTTTTGGCCCTGATTAATGCTAGCTCATCATCATAGTTGACGATAGTAGGATATTAGGCATATGGAAAATTCCATCATTCTTCTTCTACCTACATCAATCTTTTCCTCTATGAAAACGTGTCGAATTGAGAGTGGTTTGTTCCGTTTTGAGATATTATTTTTCAATTTATAATTGGTTTTTGAATACGAATATTGAAAAAAATAAAAAAAATAAAAAATAAAAAATAGAAAGATTTAATAACATTATTGTACTATAAAAAGATACTAAATATGAGTCGACGGACCTTTTTTATTCAATCGTCACACTCAAAGTGAAATCACAACATTAAAAATTTAGAAAAATAACGAAAATCCTTATCATAATGATGCTATGAAATGATGATTTATCGTATATATAAATATCGTATCTTTTTCACTCCTATCTTATATATATATATATGGAGTACATAATTCATATATACGTTTATAAATAGAGAATGATGAGTGTGAAATACAATAAAGAGACTAATTAATAAGACAAATATTGTTTATAAGAATAATTAGAAATAAATTACGATTCATCTAATTAATTAATGCCTTGTGTCCCTTGCTATAAAGATTTGATCAATTTATGTTTTTGAAAACATAGATAAAATGGATTTATCTCTATTTCTATAACATAATAATTAAATTAATTCGTTTTGTATCAGTACTTTCTTCTTATTATTATTATAAATATAAGTGGCCAACAAGTAGTACAATTACTTATAAAATGTGTCAAAAATGTAAAAGAGGAGACACCCACTTGGCAAACTATTGGATGAGAATGTATTTTACTTGTATGCCGTTGGTTGCAATGGATTCCCTAATAGTGGGGCTTAATTCGTAGTTATATTCCATTTGGTTTCTTTCAATGAATTTGATTCAATCTTTGTGCTGTAGAAGGGAAAAGACAGACAGAATCTTGGAGATTTTTTTAGTACAAATTGTCCATATCATTTTACATTTAGCTTAATTAGATGTTCTAAATATGATGCAGATTTTGATGAATATAAGCCACTGTTTTTTTTTTTTTTTTTTTTTTGGAATTGGAGAAATAAATTTGAGGGTAGATGGGTAAAACTTTATTTGAATTTTAGTTTATTTGAAAATTAACTTCTGAATTTTATTTTATTTGAAAATTAATTTCTATATTTTTAATTTCTAGTTTGACCTCTTTTGATTATTTTTAAGATTTAATACATTTTATGATTTTCAACTATCACTCTACTTTCTAAAAAAAATTCAATTCTTGGTATTTTAAGTTGATGTTTTTCAACAAAAAATTAATACATTTTTTGAAAAAATTCTAGAAAAAGTAAGGTCGGGAATTGTGTATATGTTTTTTTTCCCTTAACAATAAAAATATAAAAAAATTAAAAAACAAGAAAATAACCCAAAATCACCTTAAATTTTTTGAGAAACTGCAGATAAATTTTACTAAATGATTTCTATCATAGAGCTATTTATGTGAGTTGTGACTGTTATTTTTGCCAAAAAAATAAAGTTTATTGAAGGTCAAATTTGAAATTAAAAATTTAAAGACTAATTTTTTAATAAATTAAAGTTTATGAGAGGTTTAACCCATTTAGCCTAAATTAATTTTGATATGTGCAAAAATTGGTTGGAAGATACTACTCTTGACCATAAACTTAAAACATCAGTGTGGATTTTTTCAATTTTTCTTACTTCTCAAGGTCAAGATGCTAATATTTTTTTTCTTTTTCAATCAATATCAAACTGAAAGTTCATCATAAAATCCATAGACTGCTGTTCCAAAACAGTCAAAAACACAAAGAAGCCACTAAGGAAGCACAAGATAGGTTCAAAAGAAGATGGCAATAAATCAGAATCAACACAAGAGTGCCCATGGTTATCATAGACCAGAAGCAGATAAAAAACCAGCAGCAAATATTGCACTTATTATGTAGAAGAATTTTTTGAAATGCCAACCTAATGATTATGCTGTATAATGTAGCATCCTCTTAATTCAAACCTTTTTTATAAGTGTTGAGAAATTTAATTTACAAGAATCCAATAATTTCTAATCGAAAAGTTTACAACACAAATATATATATATATATATGTTATGATGGCAATGAGGACATTTAACAAACACCTTCAATTTTTTTTACATTATTTTAATAAATAGAAGATTTTCTTTTATAGTGGCTATGAGAAGTTAAATGTCAACGGATCTGCTGATATATTTTGGACCCAAAAAATAAATTTAATCTCGATACATGAAAACTCACCACCACAAAATATTAAATATATAGAGTAAATTATAAATTAGTCTCTCTACTTTTGTAAAAACAAGTTAATTAGTTTTTTTTTTCTAAAACTAATTATTTAGTCTCTATATTTTTTAATTTTCTTGTAACTTAATTGTTTTTGTTTTTTTTCATTTTTTTTCAATTTTTCATTTTAAGAAATAAAAAAATGAAAAAATAAAATAAAAATATTGATGAGAAAATATGATATTTTTAAAATAAAATAATATTAAATTAAATGTGGTTAATACTAGTTAATTGATTAAATAATTAATTTTTGAAACTAAGAAGACTAATTAATATGTTTCTCAAAAATAAAGGACTAATTTATAATTTGTGCTCTCTCTCCATGTATTTTTTATATTTAAGATTCTCGAAATAAAGCTATAAATACATGCATTTATCTATTCACTTTTTTGTGTTTTGGGTGATTAACTATTTATTTTTCACTTAATATTTATACAATTTTTTTTTAAACATACACGATTTTTTATACATAAATCCATGATAGCTAGTCTTGCAGATCCATAGCTTAATTTATAGAAGTGTTGTAAAAGCATGCATAAGTTCTTGGCGACGTTAATTATGTTTATTTGAGTTATTTTTCCACTATTTTATTGCTTGATTTCTAATTATTGATAACATCTATTTGGAGTATCAAGGCATGCTAAAGAGGTAGCTAACGCAATGGATCGATATTAATTATGTTTTAGATAATGTTTGAGAAAATTAATTTTTAGTCCGTAAATTTTACATCCAAGTATGACTTAGTCCTTCATATTTGAAAAACTATAATTTATTTCATTGCCATTTAACTCTTGTTGAAAGTTGTTTTCTTAACATGTCGTTTTTTCGTCCTATGATTTCACGATGTTAAATGGTACGTTTTGGAATTAATAAAAACAAACAAATGTTTGAATAATCAAAGAGCTTATAATCTAACAATATTGATCTCTTATAATGGGTTACGGGTTCAAATTCTAACAGACCTTTAGATATGTATGTTAGGTGTATAAATTAAAAAAAAATTAAAAAAAAACAAATGTTTTAATAAGACAACAATCAATAAAAATAAAGAACGGTATTCACATAAAAAGAACCGAGTTATAATAGAGTGCAAAACTGAAGGATTAGAGAATAATTACCGATGAAGTTTTAATTTCTCATGCAATATTAGTAAGTTCAAACTAGCAAAGCTTTAAACATAAGGCATAATTAATGTCTAAGGTTTGCTAGAAGAAGAATTTTTTTTTCTTTAGGTGTCATCCTCTTTTCCCATTAGGTATAAGACTAATCATTTTTTAAGTGGAACATCACTCCTTTCAACAAGGACGACTCCATGATTTGAAATGCGAACATCCACGGAAAACTAGTTTAGAAGTTACTGGGCCAATAGCCTTTTGATAAGGAGACTTTTTTCAACTCCGAAGCACATGGTTTAATTAGATGGGAACTTGGGTTACTTAGAAAACCAAGCAAAGCACAATTAAATATGGTGGGGGCTGGTGATAATCTATTCGTTGTGTCTATAAGCAATATACCATTTAATGCAAAACACCAATAAAGTACTACAAAAACAGCAATTTCATGTTGCCTCTTCCATTGAATTAACAACACGTTCCCAAGCTTGTTGATAAGATTTTTTTTTTTTTTTTTTTGCGTCTCTAATGTGAGAAAGCATGTGTATGGAGAGAAGCACCTTAAAAGCTGAATTCCCATTTGCTCAAAGATATTATATTAAAGCGATAAAAAGGGAATTATATTCTTTCATTCTCATCAAGCCAATGAGCCAAAGACAGGTTAGATTCTTAGTGTTAAAAAGGTTTAATAATTTTTTCAAACGGATCCAAACTCCACAAAATATGACCATCTCCGGTGTCTTCTCTTCTCTATACTACTGCTTTCTTTGCAAAATTGGACAGCACATTTTTCTAAGCTTATGTTCTTTCCTTATTTGGACAATTGCTTCTCTATGGTGTGTTTTATGTTGAAGCATTTTTTATTTTTTGTTTATTAATCCATTTTCCCTCTCATATCCCTTTCTACCTTGTGTGTATATAAAGGCTTGCCGTGATCTCCATTCTCATCATTACACCAAAACCTTAACCAAGAAAACATCTCTTGTGTCTTGCATTTTTATTTTCTTACAAAATATCTAATGTCAAGGGCCATTGAACCACTGATTGTAGGGAGAGTTGTAGGAGAAGTGGTGGATATATTCACTCCTAGTGTGAAAATGACTGTGACTTATAACTCCAACAAGCAAGTTGCTAATGGCTATGAATTCATGCCGTCTTTCGTTTCTACTAGACCTAGAGTTGAGATTGGTGGAGAAGACATGAGGACTGCATATACACTAGTAAGTTAATGTCCATTTTTACCACCGTTTTTCTCCCAATCTTACAAATTATATGCTCTCCTTCATATATATACTATAGTTCCATTTTTAAGTCCTTTTTTTTTGTTTTGTTTTTTGTCTTTGTAGATCATGACAGACCCTGATGCTCCAAGCCCTAGTGATCCATGCTTAAGAGAACATATCCACTGGTTTGTACTATTAAAACTGACTCATATAGCTAGATTACATTGGCATTCACCCTTAACTAGGGCTCATTTTGAACAAAAAATTTTACATCTTGCAGGATGGTCACTGACATTCCTGGCACAACTGATGTATCTTTCGGTGAGTTTTTAGCTAGTTTTGTTTTTTTTTTTTTTTTTAGTGAATTAATCTTAAAATGGGTTTGGTGCAAAACAACAGGAAAGGAAATTGTGAGCTATGAGATTCCAAAACCTGTGGTTGGTATCCATAGATATGTGTTCATCCTGTTCAAGCAGAGAGGAAGGCAAACTGTGAGGCCACCAGCTTCGAGAGACTGTTTCAACACTAGAAGGTTCTCAGGAGAGAATGGATTGGGCCTGCCAGTGGCAGCAGTGTACTTCAATGCACAGAGAGAAACTGCTGCAAGAAGAAGGTGATGGTGATGAAGAAGAGAGTACGTATCATGGGTTTTCCTTCATGGACAAAATAAAAGGTTTATTGTTTCCTGGTTTTCGGGTTTTGGATCGTCATGGCCACATTCTAGGGGACGTACTGTTGTACTATTGTCATAATTATGATGTTTAGCTAATTAAGGTTACTGTTTTCTTTTCTTCTGCTACTACTAGGTTTGTAGGCCCTACCTTCTTTTAGGGTTTGTTATCATCGGATGCACATAGCATCTGAAGCTAGCAAATGATCCTTTGATGGGTACGTGTCAAGTTCTGAGAGAATCTGTCATGGGACCCTAATATCTGAATTTGTTTAACAAAAAGGCAACACTGAGGTGTTGTTGCCCTGTCTCACTTCTTAATTCATTTCTCTCTGCTCTAAAATTGTTTGTTAATTTGCCAGCTCCATGGTCTTCGACTCGGATTTTGAACTGCCCACAAACCTATCATAGCCTTTTCGATGATCAATAAAATGTCAACTTTTAGATTGCAATCTTGTTCCTTAACAATTGTTATTAAGAAAAGATTAATCCACCATTAATGTTATGGCAGACCACTCTCCAGGCGGCTCTTAACATAAATTCCAATAATCTTTGTGTTAACGACTATTTATTTAATAGTTTTTTTGGCATAAATTCAAACAACAGCCGTTACATAACATAATGATAACATTTCGAAATACTTCATTATTATTATTCGACGTTATAGACGTTATAGAAATTTCGACGTCGTTTTACATAAACAACAGCATTACACTTCAAAAAAAATCAAAATTTAAACTTTCAAATTTTGCAGCCTATCCACAAGATAATTAGTAAAAATATATAAATTACAATAAATTTATTAACAATAACTTATATATTCACAATATCAATGGCAACAATTGTTATTTTACTTTCGTGACTTGCAATCACAACTACTTTTTTTAACAACGTTCGCGATTATGGTTCCTGGCAGTTTACTGCAGATTAACCAATAGGGTTTTTTTGGCCAGGATGCCCTTTTGCCACTTCTCTAGCCTTGTAACAAGTGAAACTAAATAGAAGAGAAAGGCATTTAGCTAACAGAAGCAATGCAGTTAGTAATTAAAGGCAGGAAGAAAAGGGAAAGAGTTGTTCTATGATGACATTCAATTACAATCGATCTGTGAACCCCCCAATACAATTTTTACAACCCTCACCAAATATTTTAAAAATACATCTAAAAGGCTAAAACAAGTGGCCAGCCGAAGAAAAACTGGAAGCAAACATGGATTTTGAAAATTTTCAGTGTGATGAGATTGGTGTGACAAAGTATCACCACCTTGCACACACACTGATGTCAATAAAATATTCAATCCAGACCATTCATCAGCTAAAACAAGTCATGCATTTATTTCCGAGTTGCACTGATGCTCTCTGCTGCAGCTCCTCCTTCCCCAAAACATACTTGAACAGCTTGTTTTCTCAAGCTTTGGTCCTTCCATTTTATCCTGCTCTACAGGTGTTTGTGAACGGTGAGAGGATTCATCTTGTGAATCTACCTCTTGGGGTTCAAACGACGGGCATGGCCCATCATTGCAGGTACACAAAGGCATGGCAACAGAAGGAAATGGGCTGCAAGTGACCGGGCAGAGAAAATCGGAAGAAACTGAAGCCACACGATTCTTTCGGACCTCTGGTAAACATGCTGGCGATTGCCCATCCACATCACGAGGATGAAGCATGCATGGAGTACAGAGGCCAAGAGACAGAGGAAGCTTCATTTCTTTTGCTGAGGAACCAGGCAATCTAACAAAAGAGATAATGCCATGCCTGCAAAGAGGACACGGGATGGAGCCAGTAGGGCCTACCATTTCAGAAGAGATGTTGCATGTCGAGCAAAGATAGAGTGCACATCTTACACAAAGCTCATGCCCGCACCCTGAATACGAGAACTGCCCATCAATAACATGAAACCAATGGCATACTGGACATAAAATCAATTTAACCATAGATTACAAAAGTGATGGAAAACTAAATAGTGAGGTTTTCAATACTTCTAAAATTGAAGTGGTGAAGTTATTGCTTAGTTCAGATTTCTATCAAAGGGAAATTTCACAGAAACCTACTAAAATTATGCTCACTAGTAAAAGGGAAAGAAAACCCATACTAGTTTTGGATGCCAACATGAACAAAAGAAGCAGAAAGGCGATCTTCAAAACTAAAAACAGATGAATGGATACATGAAATTTTTCGCTATTTTATACATTCAATCTCTGACCGACTAAAGGAAGAACACGAAAAACAATTCATATTTGTTGAAAGCCAGAACAACAAGGTTTTTGCTACCTAGTTGCAGCATATAAACCAAGTCCTTGGAAAGATGCAGCGGTAGAGGTGTATAGAGACAAGTACATTGACATGATTGAGTTCATAAATAGTGGAAATATAAACCAGAACCAAAATAAATAGATATTGACAAATCAGTTGCATTCTGTACAGGGCTATGCTGAGCCTTGGCATGGAGCCTAATTTCTTTTCTCCCAACCAGAAATATTATGTTGCTTAAGCAGGGCATCTTAGAAAGCTGTGACATTTATTTTGATGAAGGGAAAATAAAGGCTTCAGCAAGAACCATGCGTATATAATGTTCTAAGTTTGCATTGCCAATAAAGAGGATTAAGGTCCAAGGGGGTAACACAAGGTAATCATTGAAAACTACAAAGACAGAAAAAGAACAAACCTTCAGCGGCTACATTACATGCCCTCTCCAGGCAAACAGCACAGATATCAGGGTCATCACAGGAGCTTGTTGAGCATTGCAGTCCACTCTCTCTGCAAAGAATAATACACAAAACATCATATTTAGTCCTCATTAACAATGGTTTGCATTATTTAACTAAACACTCATAAACTTTCAATGTCAAGTCAAAATCCAAGGGCATTGTATAATTCGAGGCAAACGAAAAAGTAGACCATATTTGGCTTAGATTTGCTGGGTTAAGATCTAAAAAAATGTAACATCATAAGATGAGCGTCTTGCATGTGCAACGAGTTAACAAATGATCTGGTAATGAAGCAATCAGTAGGGGAAACTCGACAAAAGATACAGTCAGTCTTGATGCAATCATGTACAGATAATTCCATTCCTAAGACAGCCAAAATGTGGTCTGGTGCTGTCAGTCTTCATGCAATCTTTACAAAGGGGAAAAATACTATTTCTGTTTTGATCATATAAAGCACTGTGTGATGTCCATAAGACACGCTGCCATCAGTTTACAGCAAGTGCCCAAACCTGTCCCTCTAAGGATGGATGTGTGCTCCAATCAGAATTTCACAGATTTAGCATGAAAGCACAGGTAAAATTATTACAGATCTATAATTATTTTCTATGAGAAATACAACCACCATGCTTCATCAATTATCTTCACCTTTTTTTTTAATCATTTTTTGTTCTTATAAGGAAGCAGGAAACCGTAAGTTATCCTTTTTGGTTGAGTATTAAAAACTATACATTCTTGACTACAATAACATGAAACGAAGCAGCAGAAAAGATACACTTTGAAGATGCAATTCTTAAAGGACTTTGAAAGACTCATGATCTAGTGCTCTTGCCCGCTCTTCCACACACAAAGAACCTAGCGTTTATGCATACAAAACACCCTCTGAATTTGCTAGCATGGAATTCACATCATATATAGATAGACCGGTAACTATGTCCATTTGAATGCCACGTGACAAAATAGGTTACTGGTGTAGCGATTTGTAGAGGGAATATTAGAATTTTTAAATACTATGCATATTTCTTCTGAAAGCTTATAAATTCTCCAGTTATTCCTTTTCCTTTTTACCTAGAAGTAGTAATAGCACCAGTTGATAGCAGGACGCCTAACAAAACATCAAAGTTGAAACTTTCTCGAGTTTTGATCCTTGACACTCTGCCTTTACGAAGGGTTTAGTAGTTTGATTTAATTCTGTAAGCATCACTAAACCGCTTCATATTGTAAGATGTCTCATACAGCAAATGTAATCAGTATCTAGCATCTACAGTATTCGGCAAGCCATGAGACATGAGACATTACGGTTTAGGTAATACTCATGTACCAACAAAACAGGCTCCATATTAGGCAGACTTGGATCACAAGTTCACAGTGAACCAAACTAGAGCAGCTTGTTCTTAGCAAAGTCTCTATAGATTCCCTTGCTCTTTGTTGCAGAATTAATAAAAGCATCAAACCTAACCTTGTCCTTAAACATTAAGTGCCCAAAAAAGCAACAAAAGGGCAAAGACCAACATCCACTCGACCAGTTTTATATTAGAAACTAGGCCATTTCATTAGACTCAAATTTAGTTTCTGAAATTCCTATGGCATCCAAATTTAGCAAATTATAAATATCAAGTGTTTGAGATTTTAGTTACTGCTGTTGCAATGATATTTTTGAAATCATCATATTCTTAGCATGCATGTTTGCAGGTGCCTACATGAGTGTGTGTGTGTGTGTGACAGAGAGAGAGAGAGAGAGAGAGAGAGAGAGAGATTGTGCATATATATTAAGTTGCAAAAAGTACCTTGCTATGTTAAGTACACTCAGAAGAGGCAAGGATAAGTAGTTAGAGTGAGGAAATCTAGGAATCGTAGAGTCAGAATTTGGTGCCAACAGTGGTTCAAGCCAATGACGCCCCCACATCCTGGCAACATCAACAGGCAGCCACCTGAAGAACACACAGTAGTTTCCATGTCATTTTCATAATAACTTGATGGCTGTTGCATCAATCAGTCATAACACAAAAAGATCCCAAAGCAATTTACCCGTTGCAATTTAATGTCATCCGACTGGCACCTCTTGCAAGGAGGATCTGGAGAGTTAGCAGCATTATCATCTCATGTTCATAAAGATAAAGACAGGAAAAGACGAGCTTCATGGTGATGATATTATTCTTACCTGACAGCATTTTAAATTGCCCCCGCAAGCAGCATAATGCAAAGGGGTGCTTCCTGCCCCTACACATCAACATATTTATATTGTCAGTGGTTCAAATCAGAAATCAAAGATTTGCAAAACAAATTGTGAGGCATGGAGCAGAAAGGTAAACCTATCAAATCCATTGTTGTCCCATAATGGAATGTCACGGATGATACATTAGCATGAATATCAAGTAGAAGCTGTACACAATCAAAGTACCCATTCAATGCGGCCATATGAAGAGCAGTGATACCACCATCGGCCGCCTTATTTACAAACCTGGACAGCGCACTGCATGATAATATAACCTAAGTCAAATGCTTCTGTGGCATCTAAAACCACTAACAATAATAAATCTAACATGAAGAGGGAAACATCAGACTATTCCAACAAAAGTGATGAAGCCACAATCAATAATGCATAAAAAAAAAATTTACAATCTGAATGAATTAATACCTCTGATCAAATCTATTCTTCACATTAGAACCATCCCCAGTATCACCTTCTATCTGAGCATGCATAGCATCGAAATGGGCACTAGGAACAAAATCTGCAACAACTAATCTTATACATCTAGCATGCCCATTTACCGCTGCAAAATGTAGAGCAGTTCTTCCACTAAGATAATCTGCCCTTATAACCTATAAAGCCACAATATTCACAACCATGAATCAATAAAAAAAGACACCTACCAAGTAAAACAGGAAACTCAAAAAAGAATTCCATCAAGAAACTGAATTTACTTACATTGCATCTAAACAACAAAAGGGTCTGCACAACTTCCCAGTGTCCATACCTACAAGCTTGCATCAATGCCGTCTTCAAACAGAATCACAAAAGATCACAATTACAAAAACAAACAAATCAAAACAGACCCATTAATCTGTATCGAATTAAGGAATCAAACCTTTTACTTATCCGGTTTCAAAAACAAGCAACATCTAAATGAAATCAAAATCTGGGTTTTGTTAATCTCCCAATAGCTAAGATTAACAACATAAAATCCAAATTTCAGCTTTTCTTAATTTCCCAAGCACTATTACAAAACCAAAAAGAAAAATAAACATAAAACCTTTCACCACAAGAACTTCAAAAAAATAAAAACCCATTTCCAAATTTGATCCAACAAATCATATTAGCATTCGCACACATTTATATATCAAATCCCACCCCCCCAAAAAAAAATCAATTAAATTAAATCCCATAAAAAAAAACAATTTTTTTTTAATACCTGGCCACAATAATTCCGGGAATTCACATCAGCTCCATTCTCTAACAACAACCCCACAATCTGAAAAAAAAAAAAAAAGGGAAAATAAACACATTAACAACAAAAAAAAAAATCTAAAACTTCCTTCTTTTTCACTCTTTTTTTTTTTGGTTACCTCGTTGTGGCCTTTAGCAGCAGCAAAATGGAGAGGAGAATTAAGGCCACCAAAAGTAGAATATTTAGCGAGACAAGGATTGCAATCTAATAACATCTTGGCTTCCACCAAATCTCCATCTCTTGCTGCTGAAACTAATCTCTCCCCTGAAGCTGAGCACCCAAATGAATTCCCCATTTTGCTCCCCTCCTCTCCCCCCTCTCTCTCTCTCTCCCTCCCTCTCCCTCTCTCTCTCTCTCTCTGTCTCAGACAAAAAATCTTAAGACAACAACAATTTCTCAGATTTGGTTTTTTAAGGTTTAGTTTTGGAGGTGGAAATTTGGTGACGTGGCAAACTTTGTTTTTCTTCCCTTTTTTGTGTTCCTTTGTCTCCCCCACTCTTATCCTTCTTTCTACCTTTCTGTGTTTTATGGTAGTTTCTCACTTCAGTTTGTGAAATTTGAGAGAGAAATAGGCAAGAAGAAGCGGAGAGAGAGAGAGGGAGACTTTCGTCGTTCCTGTTGTTTCTTTGTCTTTGCTAACTTTCTATGTACCTTCACATTTCTTTTTGTATTTTTCTTCTTGCTTTTTTCAATAATGTTTTTCATCTCAAAATACTTATTATCAATAATTTTTTTAAATAATTAAATGTTCATTAAATGATTTCTACCTTTCTGTGGACAAGTTTCCAGTTGTTCAAATACAATTGGAAACTTGGATAAAAAAAATCTACTTATATGGAAACTCATCTCATTTTCTCTGAAATTCATAGGAAAAAAGATGCAATTAGCAGGATTAAGTTAAAAAAAAAAACTTGGATTAAGTTGGTCAAGGGAAATTCAACGCAGAAAGAGATTTTTTTAGAAAAATTTATTTGATTCCAATATTAATTATATGCTTTTAACCAAATTAAAGAATTGAATAGTATTGATCAAGTCAAAATTAATCGTAAAAGCCATCAACATTAAAAGAAAATTCAATTCAATTTTGAATTTCAAAAATATGAAATTTGAACAAAAAAATAATAATTCTATTTATTTGCACTCGTGCTAAATTGAGATTATTGATTAATTGAAAGCTAAAGAATTACATAAATAAATTATTACATGAATCGGATTCGGATAAATAACTAAAAAAGATTTTTTATAATATGCTAATTTACAAAAACCAAGGTCGTGTAATAATTTTTTAAAATAAGAAATGTGATATATTGGTACAAAAGTTGTTTTGTTTTTTTTTTTCTGAAATTAGATTTTAATTTTTATTCATGTATAATTAATATTAATTATTTTTTTAGTGATATCAAATTTTCACTGATAGCTAAACTTATTTTAATACTAATTTATTTTAAAAAACGTTATATTTAATTTTAATTATGAAAAAACCTATATAAATATGAAAAAATTAATATTTTCTTACAACCCTATCCAACCACAATAAAGTCAATAACAAATGAGTCCAAAAGGCATTCAAAGAGCGTTCAGTAAGTTGCGAGGAAAGATCATCAGGTGAAATACAGACCACATTAATCATGCAAGCAAAGGCCTGTCTTTAAGGATTGTGGGACCCAAACAGTACAGTGGTAGATGTAGAAATGATAAGTGCTATAATTGTACTTAACGTGACACAAGTATCCTAAGTTTTAATTTGGAAACTTCGATGGAGATTTCTCTAATATTATGAAAATATAAAAAGCATAATTTTACATTAATTTCCTAAATTGATAGAGATATTTTAAATTTTAATTTTCAACCTGGGATATAGATACAATAGAGATTTCTTTAGGAAAATATAAAAAATGAAATATTACAATTATTTCGTAATTTGATGAAAGTATTTTAAATTTTAATCTCAAATTTTTGATAGAGATATAATGAAGAATTTTTTTTTTTTTTTGTCCGGACCAACTTATGCGCACCGCGACTAATCCCTAGAGCTCGCCGAACACCCCGCAAGCCCGGGAGCATGTACGGCACCGCGAAGTGACGGGCGTGCGTAGAGAGAGTCGAACCCGGATGATCTTCAAGGGGTAAGCTCTCGTTCTACTAGGCTACGAGCTCAAGCGCTATAATGAAGAATTTTTGATATTACAAGAATGTGAAAGACATAAATACAAGGTTGTTTTATATTTAGTCTATACCAATGGGAGTAAATTATAAATTAATACTTCTCATTTTAAAAAATGAACAAAAGAGTCTCTTCTGTTTAAAAAAATTGGTCATTTAGTTTTTAAGTTTTTAAATTTACTTATAAATTTATTGTTTTATTTTTTTTAATTTATTTTGTTTTTTTTCAGGAAATAAAAAAAAGAAAAAATGTGGAAGAAATATGTAAAGATAGATGGGAAAAAAGATATTTTATGAAATAAAAATACTATTAAATTAATTATGGTTAACACTGGTTAAATGATTGAATAATAGTTTTTAAAGAAGAGGGACTAATAAATTTATTTCTTGAAACTATAGGGACTAATTTATAAAGTACTCATATGTATGGCTATTTTTAATTTATTAAAAAAAAATGAATGGTTAAATCAGACGGCAATGAATAGTTGATGATTATAGATGAACTTTTTACCTCGGGATTTACGCAAAAAGGATTAGGTTAGGTTTGGTGAGATGTGAGCCGTTTGATTGGTCATGGAGCTTGAGAGGGAGGGAGGTAATCTAATTAGGGAATTTTTGGAGGCAAATTGCTAAAAAATATTATCTTTTTTTTCTCCTTCGTTTTAGAAATTTTTTAATCTCAACTTGGCAAGAAGGATTAAAAAAAAAAAAAAAAGGAGAACTTTTTGAGTATGAGTCTTAATTTTTTTAATAAAAAAATTAGCAATTTGTCAATTTGCAAATTTTTTTTTTCTGCTTCAAATTGCATTTTTAATTTTAATTAGTAAAAGGTGACTATAATTTTACCAATTTTTCCAAATAAGAGAAAATTTGTTGGGTAGGGGAGGTTTCTTCAGAAGTAAAAAAAAAAAAAAAAAAAAAGTGGAGTGCCTTCAAAGTTCATTCTAAATTTCTAAGGTCTAAAATTTATGTATTTTTTGTTTATTATTTTGTAAAAAAAAACATTTTCCAACAAATTAAAGATCATTAAACTTTGAATTATATTAGTGTGAGTAGAACTTTTCTTTATTTAATTATCTCTTAATTAGCGAGATTCAATTATACATATTTTTTTTATAATAAGAAAATAACTTGACCAAGCTAGTGATCTACTTTGTAATAGAATATGGAATTTATTTGTTTCTTCATTGCCTTTCTTGATTTTTTTTTTTTCAATTTATCTCTAATTAGAGAGATTCAATTATATTTATTTGTTTCGCCATTGCCTTTCCGGCTATTATAAACTAGCCAACATGATTCAAAACCATGATGCCGACATTAGTTAATTAATTTATTTATATATGCTGTATTTATTCTATTGCCCTTTAAGACAATCATAAGATACAGCCGGAAAATTGTTGTTGTTTTTTTCTTTTTAATCAATTTTATAATTTTTTAATACTAAATCCATTGGAATCATGGCCTAACAACATTCACAAGGATTCTAGCAACAAAAAGGTCATTTTAACCCTACAAAAAAATCTAAAATTTAAATATTATTTAATACGAGATCATAACATAGGTCATTCTCACCAATATATAGTTTATTATGCATGTATTTGATTTAATGTTTATTATTTAACGAATCATTGACCATCTATATATAGTGTATTTGTATAAATAATAAAACAAAAAATATTATTTTTTCTTGCGTGACGCAAATACAAAGAAAAGCAAAACAAGTTGTCTTGTACACAACTGGATTTTAAGTCCAATAATTGTTTTAAAATTAAAATAAAAACAAAATTTTAAGGATAAATTTCGCCATAAAAAATCAACAAACGGTACGTGAGAACATAATTTAAACATTCTATCATTCATTGCGTAGGTAATATTCTTAATGAATCTCATATCAAGACTATGTTTGTTTTTTACGAAAATTTTATTCATGAATATACATTAGGTTTTTTTATCTATCATTTTGTCAAAATTTTTAAGTTAAATCACTTAAATTATTTAGGTCTTTCGTGTATGATTAATTTTTATTCTCAAAATATCCTTATTAGCTAGTCAAATAAAAAAAATTATGTGCATATTACGTAACTAATTTCGATAGTTTAATCTGTAAATCTTATCAGAAAAATATATTAGATATTTAGTGTAAATTTAAGGTTAAAATTGATTTAACTAAAGATATAGAACCGATTAATTTTTATTTTTCACACCTAAAAACATGTCTTGTTAACTGTCATACCAACCCCAAGTGATTTACAAATTATATATAATAGGTGTAACATCAATTACCTAATTTAAAATTTATAATACAATAAGTGTCGTCCAATTTAGTTAGTAAAAATGGTTAAATCACTATAAAAAAAAACTAAAGTAAAAAATATATTGCTAATGACGATTTTGAAGACATTGGTGGCCAAAGAAATGAATACTCTATGGTGGTGGACCAAACGAAGGTTTCATGTCCACGACTCATGTCATGTCTCTTCAGAGACTGATGGTGCTAGCACTTGCTGCTTGTTTTAATAATTGTTCATGATAAGTAGTCATGAATTTTGCCGATCTCCTACCCCAAGATAGAGAGTTTTTGGATCTTGTTGATGTAACCTTTGCTTGTATCTGTTGTTTTCGAAGGTTACAAGTGGGAGAAGCAACTAGGGTTAGTTCAAGTGAAAACAGACATGAATCTTACGTTTGCATGATCACATCTTTGATAGGATAAGAGATTTTGTTTATTTTTAGGATTGATAGCTCAGTCAGTCTGTTTTTATATAAATTATATAATCGTTCTATTTGTTTTTATGTCTTTAGTTGAATTAATTTTATGTGGAATTTATTATTATGTCAAGATTTTCAAGCTAAACGAATGAAATTAATCATACAATTTGTACATGAAAAATCTTTTATTTTGCTAGCTTCTAAAGATATTTTCAGAATAAAAATTAATCACGTATAAATCACATAAAGTAAATAATCTTTTAATAAGAGTTTTTGTTTTATTTTTAGATTTCACCATTATATCTGGTTTTTATATAATAGGGCGTTCTTCAATAAGTTTTATGTTTTTAATTAAACCAAATTTATCTTCAAATATATATTAAGTGTCTAACCTATCATTATGATAGAATTGATTACACGATTTATATATATAAATCTTTTATTTAGCTAGCTTTCAAGAGTATTTTGAAAATAAAAATCAATTATGAACAAATCACGTAAATAATTATAGTGGTTTGACTTAAAAATCTAAACAAAATAATAAATTAAAAACTTAATGTATATTTAAGAATAAAATTAACTCAATTAAAAACATAACGATAAAATTAAAAATTAATTTTATTATATTTGAACAGGGATAAATTCAAAAATCACTTAACATTATTGGATGGAAATATTACCATGATACAACACCATTATAGCCGTTATATTATTAGAGGTACTGTAATGCTGTAACTCTATACAAGGACAGTCATTTAAAAGTTAAAACCATGATCACAAGTTACAAGAAACCCAAAAGACCAAAATTTGAATCGAGACATAACTAATTTTAGTTGTCATGTCAGTCAAGCTGTAAATCCAGCATAGAACAAGTTACACAAAAGGGTGTTTGCTGTAGTCTGAAGTGTACTTTACTTCTCATGTCAGTAGTCAGGGGGGCCTATACCTAATACCGGATGAAGTAGGCCCATCTGAGAAGTTTCTCAAGCATAAACTGTCTGCCAAGTTATTCTATGGTGGATTCTAAATGGATACCTGAGATTGCTTATATTCTTCTCAAGGCATCATTTAGTTTCGTCAGTTGTCAGCAGAATCTCAATGGCTGACCACACAAGAAACACCTGCTTATATTTAGATAAGAAAAAATGGAGATAGCTTCCAGTTAACCCATCCATGGCACCTTTGTGAAAAAAAAACCATGCCACCAAGAAGATACACTTGAGGTGATTAGAATGAAGGTATCCCATCCTTGTGATGCAGCTGAAAACTTGATGTTGCTCATAGAATTCATCTCCTTGCATGATGAGAGTAAATCCCAAAACAAGGCAAGGCTTGAGTGGATTTGCTCTGAGAGTTCTGCAAGCAAGAAAGGGATTTAAAATCAGCCGACTTTTTAACCGAATTAACTTTTGAAAGAAACAAAATAATCAACAAAATAACAGAGGGATTGAACGAATGAGCATTTTAAACCCATCTATGTGTTTTAAGCATAGTGAATGAGAAAACTGCAGAGATCCAAAATAAAACACTAGTATTGGATTACTACTAAATCTTTGACTCCAGAAGTTGGTGGCATCCTTGCCATGCGATCAACATGGTGGAATCGGAGGGAAGTAGATGACAAGAAGCTAGAGATGATATGTGGCAATTGGAATCTAAAACCAAGAATTGACAACTTGTGGGAAATGTTTAGAGAGCTAATAACTTTGAAAGTTTTTGGTATCTTATGATGTATTGCATTTTAAATAATTAGTGTTCCTCATCTGATTTATTTTTCTTACCTAAAATTTGAGGACTGCAATTTTTCTGAGAGTTTGATAGGAACCAGCACATTCAGACACTTGCACACTACAAACATGAATGCATCCACTTATATAGTATATGTTAGTCTTCCTAAAATCTGAAACCGATCCATGATTTCCGTGTAACCTGATCTCTTCCAAATCAAATGTCAATTTCTCTGCAGGGGAGGTTATTTAACCAGCTAACTAAAAAGGAAATTCTGACTTGTTTATAAGAAGGCAAAACAGAATGGAACTGGAAGGTCCTATCACATTACATTTGAGAATTACCATAAAACTAATCACAAGTTACAAGACAGATATAATTCACAATTAAATCACATCATATTGGTGGGAATGCAAATGGTATGTAGGAAAATTTGTTCATGAAGCAGACAGCAACTAATTTGAATGGCGACACAGATGAAATCAGTTGTTATATTACTGTATAATAGTAGTCAAGTTGTAATTTCAGTATAGGACAAGGTAAACAAAAGGGTGTTTGCTGTTGAATTATATAAACCTTACTTCTGAAGTCATGTACAAGGCCACCTAGATGCTGGGTGAGATAGGCCCATTTGAAAACTTGTTCTTGCATAAGCTGTCCTCCAAATTAGTTAATGGCTGGGGCTGGGGCTGGGGCTGATCTGGATACCAGAGTGGCCACGAATACATAAAATAGGCTGGAGCTGGGGCTGATCTGGGCTCCAGAAATTGGTGAGAGCAGACAGCCATCCTACTGTAACGACCATGGAGCTATCAGAAGGAGTGTTGGAAATAAATGAAGTAGATAAGGAGCTATAGATGAAATGCCATAATTGGGGTATGAAACCAATAATTGAAATCTTTTAGGGTATATATAACTTTCAAAAAGGTTTAGCGTGCATAACAGGAACCATCATGCAACACAATATATCGAGCAGCTCAGTGTACTATAGGAGCTGTATCTGTTCAGAGTATGACTGTAGATCATGCTCACATTTGCCGGACACTTTAGAATCATCTATTTGACACTCAAGTGAAATATTCATATATCACACAGACTGTAGAATTTGATATGACAGGGTCAGTCAAATAAAACAATATAATAGAATTGCTTCAGATCATTTGAAAACTATTTTGATCAAATTTGAACATAGATAGACACTAGAGCCTGACAGTTCATTATTTTTCACGTCAGAAAAAAGCTACCCTTGTGACAATTTTTTCAATTTGTAAGCAAGCAACAATCTACAACAATATGAGGAAATAAGAATGTGCCAACTATTTGATCAATATATATACGGATAGGCACTAAGGACACATAATTTATTAACAATAAGCAAGTAACAACCTCACAATTTATCTAGCACAACAATTTTCAGCATAACTACAGTTCTGAAAAAGGATAGCATTACAACGTAGCAATAAAAAGGTTAAGAGAATCTTACTTACATGGTAGCATAAACACTGTTCTGATGACTGCTAAGTAGACATTGCAACAATAAAATTAAAGTTTAACATTTCCTACATTCTGAAATAACAGAAGAGTCACTTTAAGCACCAATAGTTTTCCTGTGAAATACAAGTCTTCCCTGAAGAACCCAATTCCATATAACTTGCTCCTTCTAACATCTCCGATGCATATAATTGAGATTCACTCCTCTGCCTAATCATCCCCAGGGACAGTAAATTGTCAGTAATTATTGATGCTTCCCAGCAGAGAACCGAAACGATTCCTCACACACCACCAATCTTACGCAGTCAACTGGTTAGTCAAGCCTTCGCTGCCTTTTAAATCTCATCAGCATTGTCCTCCTCATCTGTAAAATCAGAACCAACATCACAACTCAAGTCCAAGTTCAAATCATCCTCCCCCTCTCCATCTTTCCCATCCTTGCCACCCTCAAAACCATCTTCCTCGCAACCTCTCCTAAAACGCTCCATCTCATCATCTTCTCTACCCCTCCCATAACTAACCAACCCCCTATCCAAATTTGCTTTCCTCGAACTATACAACACCAACGCACCCAACTTCCTCCTTGCCAAATACAAATCATCTGGCTCAACTAATTCCCCCTTCTATACGCCTCTCTAAGAAAAATCGTATGAAGCTTCCCATAATTCCCTCTAGTCGAAACATAAAAAATTCCCTGATGCTGAAGCAGAAACTCCTTCAACTTCTTAGGCAAATTCATAGCCATCCTAAAATGTGCGATCCTCTCCAATGAGATCTTCTTCTCTACAGTCAATGACAACAATTCATGAATACTAGCCACTGCCCTCTTCTCCATCCTCTTCTGAGCCTCAATCGACCTCAAATCATAACCCGAAATATCCTCATACGGTGACCAATAAGGTACCCTTTGCCATTTCCACACTGCAATCCTATAATACTTCCCTATCTTAAACCCCGGCGGAAAATTCACCAAAAAACTAAACCTCACATCCTCAGCATCCATTCCTTTCTCTCTATACTCTCTCTCCCTAACTTTCTCTATCGCACAAACCGTCAATCTAGGGTCTATATCAACCACCTCAATGTACTTATTCCTAGTATCACTAGCATCAACCAATCTGAAAAACTGCGGATACTTCAACACAACAGAATGCTCAAAATCATCCGGCAAACCGAACTCATACCTTGCAATCCTTACATGCTCTAACCGCAATCGACCTGCATTAGACATCATTATCAACTTCCTCAACCTGGTAACAGCATCAGGAATTTGAGCCAAAAGGGCCTCCTTCTCTTGCATAATCTGATTGATTGCTTTGCGCGTTACGCGACAATACAACACACGTTGAACTGGGTGCTCATAAACCTCAAAAACATGAGGAAATTTGAGGATAAAAGCACCAGCTTCAAACTGTTTAAACCCCAACCTGCCAGCGAGATTGTCCAGCCGTGAAATGGGCAGTGTTTGGTTGTATTGAGAAAATATTAAAGATTGAAACTTTAAGATTTTTCTTGTCTTTTTTTCGATTTCCATGTAATTATCAAATCCATGGTCACGAACCCTTTGTTGTTTTTTGGGTATTGAAGTAGATTGGGACATGGGTTTTGTGTGTTTAAGGTTGTAGAGTGTAGATTCAAGGGTTTTGAGGGGTTTGTTTTTAGGGTTTAACAGATTGAGAGAAATGAAGATTAGCATTTTTGTGTTTTGATTTTTTGGGGTTTAGGGTTCAGCAGACTCTGATTGAGAGAGGCAGTGACTAATTTTTGGGGAGCTAGCAAGACATGTTTGAGTGGAGTAAATGGAAAAAATGTTAAAGAATGAGGGGTTATTTTGAATCATTGGAAAACTTGGAGGTTTGAACTCAAATTTGATTAGTGTGTGTAATGGGCCAGCTCTTAATTACAAGTTGTTGGGCTGAAAAATGATGGGCCAAATTGTGATTTGGTATTAAAATTTTGGCCATCGAAACCTGTAGTGGATTGTTTTCTTACAAGGTTGCTCTTTGAGCTTTTCAGAAAAGCTAAATAGGGGTGTTTGTTCGGTTATTTAGTTTGATTTCTAAACATTTTAAATAGTTTTTTTGTTGATTGAATATTTTTTAAAAAATAACCAAAATCGACCCAAAATGTTATTTTATTTTTAGATTAGATTTCAAAATATTTCAATTTCGATGTTCGATAATTCGATTTTTATCCGTTTTATTTTATTATATTTTTTTCTACAAATGATTAATTCTATTAAAGTTTTTGAAATCTCTAATTAGATTGAGTTTCTTTCTATTGTGTGGACTAATAGCTAAAAAACTAAGTTGCGTCCAAAAAATAGAAAATTCATTGGTAGATAAATAAATAATAAATTGTCTACTCAATAAAGCTTGAATCGAGAGATCGTAGAAAATCTATCAACGTTTTTGCTATTTTGTGTACATTCAAACTTATAACAAAGATGAAGAAAGCACGTACGAAACTGTGGTAGAAAATATATCTAGAGGAAAAGGATTTTTCAATTTGGAGATACAGATGAGTGATCCGACTTAATATATATATATTAAAATTTTTAATTTTTCAATTAATCGATTTTTTTTTTAGAAAAACCAAACTCGAATATGAAAATCATAATTATTTTAGTTCAATTTTTTAAAAAATCACATCGAAATATATATATATATATATATTAAAAATTTTGATTTTTCGATTAATCGTTTTTTTTTAAAAAAACTGAATTTGAATTCGAAAATTAAAATTATTTCAATTCGATTTTTTTTAATTTCTAAAAAATAAAATCACATCAAAATTAATATATCGATGTGATTCAATTTGATTATTCGGTTTTTATGGAAGAGTGAACACCGCCTTACTTAGTTTCAATTCAACCCAATCTTGTTATTATTTCTTTAAACACCCTCTTTGTCACTCAACTCTGCTGAGGGCCCAGATAAGGGACGCATGTTTTGTCATGGAAGAAACTTCCAATTCGAAGAAAAGTGGGAAATGACAACAGCTCTCCTTCTGTTCAGGCATGGGACCTGAATGCAATTATAGCTTCAACCAATTGCTACCACCAGTTTTGGAAGGGCCATAGCTTCTTAAAAGAGGATCCATCATTGGTTTCTCTTCTGTTGTGAACACAGATTAAAGTTCAACATAAAGATGGTGACAATCTCTTCTTAATGATTCCCATTTCTCACCAGATTAAAACTTTGATTGTTTTTCTTGAAAAGCTAGAAGACATCTTTGATAGCAATTCAGTAAAAAAGTCCCGAAATAGTCACATAGGCGAGCATGCAGATGCATATGCTTGTAATTTTATGTGTTAGTCACAAGCATATGCAAGAATAATCAGGCACCAGAGGACAAACAAAGCATAAGAGAGTAAAATAAGGTGTCAAACAAGAATTCAGGCCAATCTTAAGAGAAAATTTTGAAGCAAAATATAAGTTAAAATAGCAGATTGCCTAAGATTTTGAACAGTTTCTCAACACAAAAGGTCAAGAGCTAGCAGTCTATCTTGTTTTTCTCTATAAGAAATAGGACTAAACATAAAAAGTTTGCTAAGGCCAACTGAGTCAATACCCGAACCACAACACCGACCATCGCAAAGTTAAAACTACCTTGGCATAGACGGTAACAAGATCCAGAGTCATCCTACCCACTTACAACCCAGCAAACTTGACCCACATGCGGACACACGGTTCGTTCTTGACTCGAAACCCTACTTGTGCAAAGTTATCACCTCAACCTTCCTCTATTTCATTTCCATTCTATCTGTTATACCTTCTTGATACTATATATTCTTGTGTGTCCAAAAAACAAAAGAAAAAAAAAGATATAGTAAGTTAAGAATCAACCATTAGTTGAAGGCTGTTTTGATCCTTTGCATTGTGCAGGAGATGAGATTGTGAACTGTCTCGACTGACTCGAGTGTGAGTTTGGCTGAAGGAAGGTTGCTCGCCAAAATTTGGAATCCAACAGTCAAAAAAGATCCACTGCCAATGTTGCCATCACGGTCTCTTTTGACTTGATTCTCATTGGGCTCACCATTACTGAACGAGTTGTCTGGTAGAATCACAAACCCTGATGGCAAGAGAGCCACATAGGTAGAGTCTCCACCAGTCATCACTACACTCAATGATTGCATGTTGACTGGTGCGTACACTACTAACGAACCCGAGACATCATTCCAGGTTTCTTGTAATATTAACATGTTGTTCTCGTTCACATTAGCATCAACAGCCTGCAAAGTCACACGAAACAGAAAATGTACAGTTAAACGCTTGATTAAAAAAAAAAAAAACACACACAAAAGTTGGAAGTTGGTTATGGCCACTCACAGTTGAACGCAGGACAGAGACACAGTTCCAATGTCCCTGACCCTTTGGGATTTGGACCATCTCCTGCAACATTCCACCATTGGATAAAATGTCCCATTGGCTCCTTGACTGTTCATCCCTCAAAAATTCAAATAACCTTTGTTGTGAAACCGGCAGCCAAACAGAAGTTGAAGCACTCAGCACAATACCATCTGGGTCACCAGGTTCATTGATACTCTTTCGGGTCAAAATCCTAACATCTTCACTCACGTTTTCAACCACAAGGTTGCCCCAGTTATGCAAAGTAGAAGCACAAACCCCAGAACAGAAGTTATCCACCATACGTCGCGCGAGCTTTAACATGCTTTTCTTACCTCCCATATTTATCGCTGTAGCATGATAGTATAACAACTCAGAAAATGACACATGCAATATCTTTTAGAAAAATAAACAAGTGAAGAAAGGGTCAAGTAGCATGTAAGTTGCGTTCTCAGACCTCTCTGACCTTCACCCGAAATGGTTGGGGACATAAGCATTGCCATGCACTCGTAGTACCGCTGAAGGGCAGCAATCCACCTCTGTGCACCAAAGCCCTTGCCAGAACTAAGTACAGGCCGGAAGAGTTGATGGACTGCACTCTCATCATATTCTGAATGTTCCACCCATGTAACCTGCATTTTACTATCAGTTAGAATTCCAAAACATATATGCATTCGCGTAATCCTAGCGTTATCAACAGTACAGCTCTATCTCACAAGCAATCAAACTTGGCTTTACTGGGTTCCATTCATCTCTAAAAAGAATAATTCCACGAAGATTTTTTCTTTGAACATGTTTTAGAAAGTTTCACTTGTTTTTATTCTTAGACATTAGCAAACCATGAAGCTTGTGAAATTTTGATGCTGCTGAGTAAGCCTTAAGGGAAATTTCTTGTGATACCAAAAACATAATTGTTGCATTAAAGGGTGAAAATAATAATGAAGAGGGGAACACATAAAAACACAGACTTACAGCCAAAGGGTAGAACAAACTAATATAGCAATATATAACATATAGGTCCACATACAATGTAAAGAAGTGCATGGAAAAGACAGTCAAAATCAAAAATCAAGGCATAGTGTTCACAAAAACGATGAGACAACACTCTAAATAATATAAAATATAATCCTTTCTTAGAACTTGAAAAGAAGATTTCATGAGAATTTTTAATTAGATGGAAAGATAAATTTTATTATAATACAATCATAGCAGGATCATTACTTGGAAATAGAAGATTAAAATATAACGACTAGATCTAGTTCATATCACCTCATGGATGGAAAAAAACTATCAGCAAAAGAACAGAAGAGATAGAAATAGAAGCATCAAATGCCTGAGGTGTAGAGCAAATATTGAAAGCTACAAGGCTTTACCTGGATAAGAAAAATTGTGAATGCACTACGTTCAAGACTAAGGAATCAAATAAATACGTGTGCGTGCGAATGTCAAATGCAAGAGCCCTTGATTTCCTCATCTTCGGAAATAGCAGTGGACTAATTAAGTACATACAATAAGCAGTTTCTGCTTTAGAATTGAGGAGTTTAAATTATTTTAAATCCAGGGAGAATCTTACTTTAGTTAAACAATACTCATAAGTCCGGTTTTCAAGTAAAGCACTGATGTATTTTATTAAGAGCAAAGAGAGCAAAACTTTGGTGCACAACCATAATAAATTTAATTTGGGGATGCACAAAACGTTGCAGGTTAGGATTAGTAGGGTAATTGCACATAATTTGAATTGATGCAATACCAACTGGATAAGCAGTTGCAGTCATTGCAAAATCCTCGTTAGGTACCTCTCAGAATGAAAAAAATTAAAAATGATCGTTAGTATGAGCAGAACAAATGAAGAATCTATACAAATTATTACCTTGCAGCAACCGTTGTTCATATCTTGTATAATGCAGCCAGAAGGAAGCCTCCTGCAGGTTACAGGGGTTTGTGCATTTAGATTTTCCTGGTTCTCATTAATAGAAACATCAACCACAGCCCACACGCCCTCTGCGAGTTGCTTGCATAACCGAAGGAACTTCACTTGACGCACAGGGACAAAAGGCGAAATCACTTGAAACTCAGCATGTATCTGGAAAAGAAATATTCATAAATTCCAGCATCACTGCAAGAGACTACAAAACATATAGGATAACGGCATACCATTTGCAAAGCTCCACTTTTTGTTCCGCCTATGCCACTTGATATGATATCAATGGGGGCAGCTCTAGAAATCAAGCTGGGAAACATTTCCACCCAC